AGTTTGTAGCTCACTCGCACGATTGTTAGCTGGATTCTGCTCCTTGCGGGTTGTTGCACTGAGGTGTCAGCTTCTTGCACGCACTTGTCTGGAAGTCTCCCTCTGCTCCTTGCCATGTGGGCCTTTCCACTGAGAACCTCACGGTGTGGCACCTTGCTTCAGAAGGTGAGCGAGAGTGCTAAGGAGAAAGGAGGGCACAGTCTTTTACAACATAATCACAGAAGTGACATCCCATCACTTTTGCTGTATTCTACTCACCAGAAGCAAGCAACCAGGGCCAGCCCACTCTCAAGGGGAGGGGCAGACACAGAGCATGCATACCAGGTGCGGATTGTTGGAGCTAGGTCAGAAGTTGCCTGCCACAAGCATGATGCCACATCCAGCCGATGGGCCCACAGTTAATTGTGATGTGAATGCTACAAATACTTGCAATGCTAAATACAGCCTTTGGAAGTACAGACTTGGAGGCATTGAATGTGGTCCCCTTTATGTATCAGATTGGCCGGTAAGTGCTGAGCCATGCTCACCTGAGCCCCAGGAGAGCAAGCAAACAGGTTTTCAGGAATGGCTGAAGTTAGAGCTCCTGTCTGAAGTCATGCAACAGAGCGAAGATAAGCAGCCCTTTTTTAGCAGGATACTCTAAACACGGAGAACCAGAGGGCCCCTAGATTATATTTCATTATGTGTTGTAAGGTTGTGATGGGTACTTTGCAGATCATTAGGGGGAAGGGACTCTGTGGATTGATTTATAAAGTTGCTATTAAGATCGTGGAATGGGAGGGCTGTGCTTGTTTTAATGGTCCCCACACCCCTACTCCCAGCTTCCTGACTCCAAATGTACATTTTCAGCAGTAAACTGAGTAAAGGGATATGAATTAGGATTATGTGACAAATGTTTAAGACATGAATTGAATTTCTCATTTTAATCTGAAGAATTCTATTTTAAAATCATTTTTTTTTTTTTTAATGGAAATATGGTCGATTTACAATGTTGTGTTAGTTTCTGGTGTACAGCAAAGTGATTCGGTTATATATATATATTTCAGATTGTTTTCCATTACAGTTTATTACAAGATATTGAGTATAGCTCCCTGTGCTACACAGTAGGACCTTGTTGTTTATCTATTTTATATACAGTAGTTTTGTATACTGTAATCCCAAACTCCCTCCCCCGTTTTCCCTGGTAACCATAAGTTTGTTTTCTATGTCTGTGAGTCTGTTTGTTTTGTAAATAAGTTCATTTGTATATTTTAGATTCCACATGTAAGTGACATCGTATGGTATTGGTCTTTCTCTGCCTGCCGTACTTCACTTAGTGTGATAATCTCTAGGTCCATCCGTGTCACTGCAAATGGCATTATTTCATTCTCTTTTATGGCTGAGTAATATTCCATTGTATAAATATATACACATCTTCTTTATCTTTCCATCTGTCCGTGGACGTTTAGGTTGCTTCCATGTCTTGGCATTGTAAATAGTGCTGCTGTGAACATTGGGGTGTATGTATCTTTTCGAATTAGAGTTTCCTCCGGATATATGCCCAGGAGTGGGGCTGCTGGGTCATACGGCAGTTCTATTATAAGTTTTTTAAGGAACCTCCATACTGTTCTCCATAGTGGCTGTACCAATTTACATTCCCACCAACAGTGTAGGAGGCTTCCCTTTTCTCCACGTCCTCTCCACAGAAAATCCAAATATCATTATAGGAAGAGTTCAGGTCTAGGTTTTCTTCCCCTCTCGCAGGTGAAGACCTCTTTTTGGTCGCTAAAGCTCCAATTTGGGAACTCAGGGATGAAATGTTATAATTCTTTTGTCCCAGTTGCTGTTGTTTGGCTTCTGGAGGACCTGTAAAGCCTGGATAAAATTCCCTCTGATAAACACTCCCGCGACACCCTCACATGCCCAGATGAAGCTCATGCAAACCTCAGTTACCACATGGATGCCTCCTGGTCCCTAAACTGTGTTTCCTACCTATGTCCCCAGCTGGGATAAGCACAGCACAAGGACAGAAACAGTTTGTCTTATACATCTTTGCGCCCATAGCACCTAACAGGGCAACTGTACGTAGCAGTTTTAAAAGCGTTTGAGTGGATAGATAAAGCTGCAGTCATATATAATAAATGGTAGTAATTATTTACTATCAGTTTCCAAACATTCACTATTAATTTTCTACGGAAAACAGCGTATTGTTTTAAATAAAATAGTGTTACTCAGTATAAAGTGATGTGTGTCTCTAGAACCATAGAGATCGATAATACCGACCTCCTGACAAAGGCCAGACACGTTTTAAGTTTTTACTCCCTCATGTCCGTCTTCAATCTTGCTCATAACTGATCCCAAGAGGATTTTCTTTATAAATTTACTTGTGTGACTATTACATTTTTCAGTTCCTCTGTTTTGTGTTTTTAATGCTTCAAGCCTCCGCTTTGTTGTTTAGGTGTGACTAGTAAAGCACTTTCATATTACCTTATATATTCAAATATTACTAATAATAATCGTTCTTAGTAAGTGATATAAAGGAACCCTCTATTTGTCAGGCAAGAGGTGTGGGGTTAAGAAACCTGGAACAGGACATGGAATAAAGCCACACTCCCAGTTTTCTAAACCTTGCATAAAAAATTGAGTTTTGCTCACATATGGGAAAAGTTTTTATGCCTTCTGGTATTATATTTGTTTTTCAACGTGGCAAACAAGGAACCCAAGTTATACAGACTTAGGTTAAGATTTCATGAGCTCAGGTCAGAGGCTGTGGGGTCAAGGGACTTAATGTAATCTGCACTGTGTACTCACATTATATGTTTATATTCTTTGTTTATCAGCCTTTCTAAGGATTAGAGTATAATAGTCAAACAGCATCATATGGTACCAGTCACGTTATCATTGTCATACAGCTTTTCTGGTGATAGAGAGGAGATGAGGAAGGGAGAAGTTGGACGGGGAAGAGAGGTCTTTATATAAATATAAGTACATTTAATATTTTTAGTGTACAGAATAATATAGCTCATCCAGTAACTAAGGCTAATTGTCCCTCTTTGCGAGCTGGTGAGAGAACTCTCTTGAATTTTTCCTGGACAGTTTATCATGTGTTGATGTTTAGTTATTCCAGCGTGCCCCACAAAGATTTTTATGTCCTGGATTTATAGGATTTCTCCTATATATAAATCTGAAAAATGGGTGCTAACTCTAAGAAGTTCCCCCACTAAAACAAACATTTGATCTTGCCTTGAGCCTGCTGTATCTTACAGCATCATCAGTAAAATCAGCTGTTGCATGTGGTAAATCAAGTTCACGAGGCTTGCAGTAAGTTCATCATCTCAGCTCAGAAATCCACAGCACAGCAGCGTAAATATCCATGTGTCACTTTTTCACGCCACCTCTCATAAATAAGATATAAACTATCTCAAGAACCCATGGTTTTTCTAACGAATTGGAGTCACCTATGTGTACTGTATTTGTGACGCGCACATTTGCAGTTGGGGTCCACAGGAAGAACATCATTTCCTGGATCAAACCACAGAGTGCAAATATTGTGCCCTAAATAACACACTAGTTACTGTAAATGTCAGTAGAGGGAGTTTTTCCGACTTTGATTTAATGAAAGCCTACAGCAAAGCCAGCTGTTAGCACTTCTTAACTGCTTGTCAGAGCGAACACGAGGGTGGGGAGGGCTGAAAACATCTTTTCTGTATCTACTTCGGTCTAGGAATTAAGAGAGTTTTCAACAGGTGTTGCATAGCGACACGAGGGTCCTTTCCAGCTTGATGTCTTTTAGGTGGTGACTTTATAAGTTCTCCTCCAGGATGCGGACCTGGAGTTACATGAGGAGATTGTTGGGAAATTAACCTAGAGTTTGCATCTTGAATCCTCTCACCTGCAAAATCAGAATTTTCGTTTTCTGGGCTCACCATGGGGGACAGTAAGAATAGAGGAGGGAGCAGGCACACTGAACACCGGTCCCCTCTTTGTCACTGACGGTATTACCAAACTAATTGTGAGCCATGTGTATTTTGACTGATATCATCTGCTCTTTCTGAACAAAGAAAACACTTGACGCAAACACATGGGGAGGAAAGTATGCAGCACTCGTTTCTGTAACTTTTGTCATCTTTAGAATGCATGTGTAAACATATGTGATTGTTAAGGGTCTCACTGCCTTGGAAATCCCTTTGACATTATGCTGGGTGTACTGAGGGGATATCATCTTTCAAACGCAGGGGAAGTTTACAGTCTTATTATCTTGAAGAGGAGAAGAAAGTTTCTTCCTCAAATGATTTATAACTTGAAACATGTTGTCATGTTTTGGTAAGCCCACTTTATTAATTCCATCCTTCTCTGTGGCAAATTTTTAAAAATAAATGTACCATTGCAACCCAGTACTTTCTCAATAGCATATTGTACTTATAATAGCCTGATGGAAGTTGCTGGGTTTGGTTTAGTCATACAGAATGTGGAGCCAAGTTCTGAGTAAAACCTCTAATTGAATTACCTGCAAAGCACTGACAGACGGGCTTTCAGGACAGACAGAGCTTTGCTTTCCCCAGCAGAACTAGGTCATGTTTAAGTTGGCCTTGTAACTGTTAACTGGATTTTGCCAACGCTTACACCCTGGGCTCTGGTGGCTGCGGGGGCCCCTTTCCTGCTCTCTATGAAAGCAGGAGGACTCGTGCGGCGTTATCTCCTTATTTTAGAGAAAACTGATTACAGATCAAGTTAAACGCAAGAGCCTTTGAAATAAGAATCCAAAGTATTCTTCTGTAGCTTACCAACGTTCTTGCATGATTCTTTCTTTATTGTGTTGCAAAGGAAAGACAGGTATAGGAAAGTTGCCCTTTCGATGGCAGGCAGTCAGTCAGTCAGTGTCAGTCTGAAAAGTATTTCTGTTTCATCTTCTGGGAAGAATTCATGGAAGAATTTACTGTGGCCCAGTTGCATTTGCAAATGAATAATCTGGTGGTGTTCTCTCCTTTCTCTCTTGCTCTCTCTTTTTGTCTTTTCCACAGCCTCTGCAATCCCAGATAATGGAAGACGGTCCTGTCTAAAGCTCAAAGTCTTTGTGCGACCAACAAGTAAGTTCACTAAAATGAGCTTCCGAGGGTGGCTTCACTGCGCATGCTCTATTGTGTGGTCTGGTTCACAGCGGTAAAACTTTTTTTTTTTTACTGTAAATCCTGTGTGGTATCTGTTTTGTATTATCAACATCCATGTTTCAGTTTTCATCAAATTTTTTCTCATTATTTTTCATGATGCCTTTATTTTAAGTACACAGCAGTTGCTAACTTGTTGTTTCTCAGACTGTTGTACGTGCACAGCAAATGGGAACAATATTGGCATTTGGATACATGCCACTGATTGCAAAACAGTCTCTCCATAAGTAAAAGGAAAAATTAGAAAGAAAAAAGAAAGAAGCGGGAGTTTAAGGGTGTCTTCACTAACATATTTGGCTGTTATCTCTATTTTTGTTATAGATAGCTGTATGAAAACTATAGGTGTTCATGATCGTGTTTTCGATGTTAACGACAAAGTAGAAAATTCATTAGAACCAGCAGGTTAGTATGCTTAGAGAATCTCTCTTAACAAATGCATCTCTCTCTGGTGCTTCAGTACTTTTTTTCCTTTCTTCCTCTCCGCATGCTTGCATGTTACAGATGCTCTGCTTTTGCTCATTGCTAGCAACGCTAATATTATATTCTACCTCATTCCTCCAGTATCTCTGTGTAATGCATGTTAGATAAATTATGACTTTTCTTTTTTTTTGACATGGGTTTGATACAATGCAGTATCCTAGTGTAGAAGCCCCATCAGAAAGCTAAAAGTCTCACTACTTTTTTACCATATCCTCTGAGCATGCTGGTGAATTACTGTGACTATTAATGGATCTGTTTTCATGTAAGACAGAAAAAAATTTCTACTCTATGTGCTTATAAAACTTTACTTTTATAGTATATCCAAATCTATGGATAAGAGTAATAAGACTACTGCACAAAATAGCAACTAATTCAACCTGTTTAGTTTTCTCTAGAAATTCACATGCATCACTGAACTGATCTAAAGGACTTCATTTTACTTCAAATATTATTTGTGCTGTTGTCAATAGAAATAGGTCTGGAGAAGCATAACCATGTTGCCTCCTAACACCACAAACTCACGCACCTGCTGCTCCCACAAACGTATCCGCAGTAGTCTGTCGAGCCAAACGTGATCCTTGATTACTGAGGCAAAACAAGTATCGAGGATAAGTAAATCTTTCTTTTCTACTACTTCTATCTTCCATACCCCCAAACTTTCCCATCACTATGAAGAAAAATAAAACCCACCAACGGGATCGTTGAAGCCTTTGTACTGCAGCATACTGTGGATAATGTAAACTCTGTAAACTCTCCACTTGGTTATAAATTCAATCTGGCTCTTTAATGCAGCTAGACTGATTATGAGGTGGGGGGGAGCCCTCTATCCTCTGTTCTCTGAGGAGTGTGCCTCAAAGCCCCTGGATGCCCACCTACCTGCGGTTTCCTTTCCTCACCCCTACTTGCTTGAGATCTCCTGTGACTATCTCAAAGCTTAAGGACAGTAGAATTATTTCCTCTTCCCAGAAAGTTGTAAGCCCCCTCTTATGTAAACCGAGACTTTTTTTTCACCTATTTGCAGTAGGACTTACCTTTCTGATGGCGCTGGAAATTAAAAGGTTGTGAGGTCCACTTTATCCTTTGAGTACTGTTACTGGGACACACAGTCAATGAGCCATAGGGAAACTTAGCTTGAGTAAATGTGGTGCCTCAGGGCATACAATAGCTTCCACGTTGTAACTGACAGGAAGGGTTAGGCTTTTTCCCCAAGCATTCCTGTTTTTCTAAGGCAGGCATCTTATCTAGAGCACAGAGGAGAGGTGTGTACAATAAGCTCTCAGAGGCCTTAGTGGCTCCCCAGGGATCCGTTAGCTGCTTTAGAAAGTTGCAAGGAATGAGTGCTGACACGGAGACATTTTAATTGTGTTCTGGAAATCTGGAAGCATTACTGTGGCTTTTCAAGGTTCCAGACTCCTCACAAGCTTGAGGACTTGGGCCATCACAGGATCTGTGAGTGAGGTGAGATCTTTTAAGGACCCCAGAGTCTACACTCTTCCTTTTGTAACTTGCCCAGGCCATGCAGCGAGTTACACACAGATCCAGGTGTAATACTCATATTTCTCAACTGCCATTCCTACATTAGTATAAAAGGGTTCTCTTACCATTGCTAGACATAGAGATGTCCACGGAGAGAACTTTTACTATCTTGGCTTTGTTCATAAGTCATGTGTAGGCTGACCGGCAGGGTTGGGCATGTTGTAAGTTACCCTGAATTAAGAGTTTTTGATGTACACCGTCGCAGAATGTAGGCAGAGCTTTCCAGTAATCTTTTTTCCAGGTAAATTCCGTTGCCTATCGGGAAAGCAAGAAGCTGTTTAGAAACATAACAGATTGCATGTTTTTCACTGGTAATGAAGAGACACACTGAGGACTGTTCTGACATTAAGAAAACTACCTTTGAATTCAACTAATGATAAAATGCAAGATGCTAACATGGGAACATATTTCACTGTCTTTGGAGAAACAGACTCTTTTTCAGTGAGCATTTAAGTCCATGATGGCCCCCAAATCTACACACCTGTAACTGACAGAAGTTTGCAAAGCTTTGACAGAATGTGGTCAGACTGTGTGTGTGTGTGTGTGTGTGTGTTGGGGAGAGGCATGCAGGTGTGCTTGCAGGAAGAAGCTCCCTGAGTCAGTCATGACTATATTTAAGGGCATTCCGGTGATCACCTTCACTAAAGAAGTAAGACAAGGTTGAACTACGATCCCTGGCTGCACGAATGCAATAGTAGATTTGATACTTCCCTGTACTCCTTCGAAAATTCACACTTGCAGCTCCGCACCACTGTGCTGGATGGTTGAGTGCAGACCCAGACTTTATGAAGCCAGCAAGGCTGAAAGGATTCCACTGCATGTTCTCAGCAATGTATACTAATTCACCTGTCTTTGGAATGTGTTTGTCTCTTTTGTTTGCTTGCACACTCTGCCTGCCAGTTTCCTATCATCAGGGATACAGGATGATCTCAGGGCACACATATGCCACATAATATGCTCCAAAATATTGCTCGTATTCTCTCCGTTAACCACTGAAAACCCTCATGTTGTGGAATCCTGTAGCCAGGAGGCAAGACTTGATTTGGCTTCTGAAGAGAAGTATTTTCTTTTTCCAAGCCACATTCACTGTTACAAGTTTTAGAAGTTCTCTCGTGTTTAGGTGTAATTTCCATTGGGATAGATTTTGCTTATGACTTCCTCTTTAGAATTCTGAAATTGCTCAGACTTACCTAACAAACAAACAAACAGCCTGTTTTTCATTTTGCTTCCTGGGGGGGCCACAGAATCTCCCAACACTGAGGCCCTGTTTAATCAAAGGATGCTCTGTAGAATCCTGAGGCAGGACCAATGTTACAGTGAGAAGAGAAGAACCCTGGTCCCCTAAGGGGACTGATTTTCTCCTTTGAGGGCAAGAGGGTACTTACTGGTTGGTTGCCTAGAAAAAGGTTAATTCCAAAGATGGCCATGACTTGAGGATCAAAAGGCACATTGGCCTCATGGCTTCTCTTATATGAGAAACAAACGCTTTCGTCTCAAAGGTGCGCAAGGTTCATTCCCCCGTCTTGTGCCGTGTGGGCCTAGAGCATGGACAGCCCTCGCTGAGCACCCTGGTCAGACTGAGAAGGCGAGTCCCCTTCAAGCTCACAACTGAGTATCTACGTGTTACTTGGGTACCTCTTTTATCAGTACACTTCCAAACTTTACAAGGAAGAGGACTGGGTAATATGTTGGTGAAGATAAGACTGAGAAGAACCCAATAGCTGATGTAATTTCAGGTGTATAAATATAAGCGGTATTTCAAAATGAACTCTGGAATCCTCTGGGTTTATGGTTCTTTCACAATTAAGCCTGAAGTACTCCATTATTCCGAATAACAACAGGTTGGTGCTCTTAAGACAGTGATTTGGATTTTCTTTTCAGGGCTGTTAAGGGCATTTATGTCTACCTCCTAACTACAGATTTAATACATTTGCAAGGCTAAGAAACGGCAGAGAATAGAGTCCACAAGTATTTGACTGCATCATGTGGGGCTTTACATTTTCCCCTGCATACATTTAACTTCCCATTCTTGCTCCCTAACCTTCTCTAGTCTCCTAAGCTAATAGGTGTTCCATGCAGGTTTGCTAAGGTCCAGGAGAGGAGAGCAAATTTGACACAGGGATGCAGCAGCTTCTACACGTGGGGACAGGCTAAAATGATACGAGCACTCCAGAGCAGAAGCCTCAATGCTGAGAAGACATATTTCTAAGTTCATATAGGGAGTGAATGTAATGAACAGCCCATGTGAGCATACCTGAAGTAAGTAGAGACCAGCCTGAGCCTGCAAGGTGGTCACTTTAGGACAAATAACAGGGAGTGTGACTCTGCCTAGTAAAGAAGCAGCATCCCTATTGTGCCATGCTGTGTGATGTGAAAACAGAAATGAATTTAACAGAATAGAGTTATTAATCCATTAAGGTGTTCGAGGTGGGTCATTCAGGGATGTCTAGCGATTATCCTTTGAGGTCTACAGAATTGGGAACAACCACTAGAGTCTCACTTGTACCCATTCTCTCTGACTGACCATACAGTGAATCCAGCCTGACAATCGCTGAGCCTCCTACAGGAAGTTCTCCTGATGCTAAAATAAAATCTACCAAAGAATCCCACTGGTGGCCCCACGTGTAGTTCAGAGATCACTGAGTCTAAAAAAGCACGAGTTAAGCCAGGTGGAAGGAAGAAGACCGGCAACGCCAGAGCATAGCATGGCTCATGGGCAAGCCTCCAGTCTATCTTTAGGTACTAATTGCTGCAAAGTTCCTGTTTCGAAGTTAAGCCTGTTAATCAGGCAGCTCAGGAAGGCTATCCGAGTCAGAGGCAGTCTCATAGAACACTTTATAGCGAAATAAAAGGAGCTTACCTCACGTAATCCACTTTATTTAGAGGAAAGTTTGCATCCACACTGATAATTCATGTGCCCAGCTTCAGCCTGACAAAAATAAAAATAGTCAAGTTCAAGTAATTTAATCCTGGAGACACAGGGTTTGTCATAGGAATAGCACCACAATTGATTCCTAATTGCAGGCAAGCCAGTGGGCACCGATTTATTTAGGTTTGGTGAGCACTATGTGTAGTTTAGTTAAAATGCTGTTGTTTTGGCATTTAATTCTTCACATTTGAAAATTCATCTAGACGTCCAACAACCAGGCATTCAACACTAATCCTATGAAACCGCTAAAAAGAGGAAAAGGGCAGCCCATTCTGGTTAGCCACTAATGTGCCAACATTAACTGCATCCTGCCACCCCGACCCCCGTTACTTGCTCCTCCAGGGCATATTGGGTTTAAAAGGTACATTCAGATACCAAGTTTGTGCATGGTGTGTTTGACTGCTAGCAAACCTGAGTAGCTCACGTGCCAGAGGTTACAGTGTGCACATTTTTCACCTCAGTTTTTAAGGAAAGTATTAATATTGCCAAGAAAGTGCAATTTTCTCTGCCTCTCCATTGTTTGCTGTAAATAATGAGTGATTATGCAGACATGAAAGTCAATGGTGGCACAAGGTTCATTACCCTACTCTGCAGAGGGTGGCGCGGTCTGTTAACAGCAGGCTGCTGCAAGAGGGTTATTAAGGATGTGAAATCTCATTGGAATGTGTGCTTTCTATTTGAACAGATGATACCGTACACGAGTCAGCCGAGCCATCCCGCGGCGAGAACGCGGCACAAACACCAAGGATACCCAGCCGCCTTTTGGCCATCCTACTGTTCCTCCTGGCGATGCTTTTGACATTATAGCACAGTCTCCTCCCATCACCTGTCACAGAAAACATCAGGGTCTTGGAACACCAGAGATCCACCCAACTGCTCATCCTAAGAAGGGATTTGTTATTGGTTTTTTGGCAGATGTCAGATTTTTATTTTCTTTCCTTCAGCCTGAATTCTAAGCAACAACTTGGGGCCGGGGGAGCTAACATAGTTGCTGCCTCCCTCACCTCACCCCACCCCTGCCCTTGCCTTCTCTCACCCCTTGCAAATTAGATGGACTCCAGATGAAAATGCCCAGTGGTTACAGTGCCACCCGTGGTCGTCTGCTCCTGTGCATTCTCCTCCAAGAGCTCACCTCCTGTAGCGCACTGTCAGCGGTATGTGGACGAGGAAGGATAGTGGCAGATGCAGCCGGTGATGGCGAGGCCCAGGAGGGTTTTCCTCTCCCACGCAACACTTATGCCTTCTCATTCAGGACTGTAAGATGATCGTGCAGGGCATCATGTCACCATGTCAAGTCCAGAGGGGAGGGATTAAGAATAGATATAATATTACACCATTTCCTCTAGGAGTATATAAATGAACAGGCTTCTGAAAGGTTGAGACACTGGTTTTCTGTTTTTTGTTTTTGTTTTTTTAAAAAGGTGACTGTCTTAAAGCATCCTTGACAGCAAAACTTGTGCTCCGTAAAAGAAGCCTTTTGTCTAGGAGGCGGGTCGAGTGCCGGAATGTTAGCACAGAGCAAGTGTGAAAACACGCTACGTTGGGTGGGGGATATATATGTGTGAGTGCCTCTAATTTTTTTGGTGACTGGGCAGTGCACACCAGATTTTTTTTCCTTTGAATAGAGATCACCATGGTGCTACAACTTTTTTTTTTCTTTTTTTTTTTTTAAAGAAACTGAAAGAGGCATTTTTACAAATAAAGTGACCTTCCCCGAGGCTGACAAGCCAGGGTTGATGAGTGTATATGGAATAGCTTTGGATACTCCTCTGGGGGAACAATGTGTACCAAGGAAAGGGTGTCAGTGGCCAGAGGAGATGTAATTTGGCTTTGCTGGAGCGCCAGTGTGCTGTGGCCTTTCCCTGACTCCCACCCTCATACCCACACTTTGCTCCACACTCCACGACTACAGGGGCTCAGACACAAATCCCTGTCCCCGGAAGAGTCAATACTACTTGGGAGGGCTAAAGGGAAATTTGGAATAAAAAATTCCAAAGTCTGGAACGAAAAAATTCAAGAGTTGATTTTATATTCTTTCCCTTTCTGACACAGCCTGAAGCGTAGGGGGAACATATGTTTATCTGTGGGAGATAAACAAGATGGAGTCCCAAAGACTTTAACAAACTATTTTTTTAAAAATCCACTAGAATAGAATATACATTATTTAGATATACTTTATGCTGACAGTGAGCATATATGCTTGTCCTATTTAAACCTGTGAGAAAAAGTGGTATCCCTTGATACATCTAGAAATATGGGGGGGGGGGGCTGCCTTGTTTCATTGTAGGGGTGGGCAAGAGGACAGTAAATCAGCACGGCCAACAGGGATGTTCCCAGTCGATTACCAGGAAATGCAAGCCTTGGGGGTTGCTACTGGTGAGTGAGGCTGTCACGAACTTTGAACTCCAAAGCCTAGACAGGGAAAAGTGTCAGACCAATGGAAAAGAAAAGAAATCAAGCAAGCCTTTTTTGCTGTTGCAGGACATGTCAATAGAAACCATGCCTTTCAAAACAAAACAAAAAATAAATGCAATGATCGTGTAAGATGTGAAAAACTGGAAGCGTTCCAGCACAATAAGGACTTTTTTAAAACTGGGGTTTTTTTTTTAACGTACATGTTTAAAAAGAGGGGTCATATTATGGATAGACTTCATGAATGGGAATTTGCTAAGAACTGTGAGTAGTTCTGAATTAGAGAGATATGTGAATGAAAGGCAGCTGTAAAGGCGCTGCACGCTGGAGAGTTGTACACATGTTGAAATGTAATCTGGGCTTACCCGATCCGTTTGGAGTGGATGTTAATGCTGGGTCTGTTCGCACTTGGAACCACGTGAGAGGTTGCCAGCCTCTCCGATTAAATCCTATTCCCCCAGACAGACATCAGGAACTTCTCTGGAGTGGCAGAGTCTTATCACAGAAGGCAGCCACCATTTCACTGAAACGAAAGTTCACAGCATTGGATTATTTTTTGCATTAACTATTTGTATAGTCAGAACTCTCAGTAATATCCAGTAATACTTCTTTTTTATTAATAGTTAGTTACAGGCTTGTTGGTCCAGTGGGATTTGGGTAGGGGGAAAAAGATGCCTTCTAAAATGGATCAATAGAACCAAAATAATATTGCATGTTCTATGACCACAAGGAAATCAAATGATCCTGTAATGATTCCAGTTAGTCATAACTACATTATCAGTGCTAATTTCATTTTAGAAATGGTGACTTCTGTGGTTTTTCTAGCATTTGTCTCTAACAAATGATAAAATAATTAATTACTCATGGCCCTCTCTGCCATTGTCTTTCATTTTTCACAGTGAAATTAGACCCCTTCACCACTGTGCCACTACAAATTAAATGTGAAAAAAAAAAAAAAAAAAAAGCAAGACTATCCACACCAGTAGACAATGTGCTTCTCTACCTAAAAGTGACGTGACTGTAGGTAACGCTTGCCACGGAGTTTTCAAGAAGACGATTGGTATCATGCAGTTTTCATCTTGTCCAAAAAGTGCTGGTGGCCTTTTGTGATGGTGTTAACAACCCTCAGGGGGCTTAGGAGGATGTCGACGCAACTTTGTAGCAGCTTTTAATTTCAAAAACAATTCAAAAGTATGAAGGGCAGCCTTTGCTGCCTCTCAGCCCCAGTCAGTCAAACCCCAGCGACCTTTGCCCCTGGTTGCCAAGGGCTTTGCAACGTGAAGCAGGGAAATAAGGATCTGTCTGTTTAGTGGATACCGTGTATCCTTTAATAGACCAGGTAATAGTTTGTGTTAGTTTAGACTATTGTTTTGTACTGTACTTTCTTGGGTGGCAGAGGAAAGAAAAGTAAAACGTTAAAAAAAACTGCATTCTTTAAATTCTGTATTATTAGCAACCTCTGTTGTATATAGTGTTTGATAATAAAGTATTAATTTGATTCTTATGCCTTTTGTAAGTGAGAACAATAGTCTTTCAGGATACAAAACATGCATTGAGGCTTTGAAACATCCAATGTAGACGTGGCTAAGAAGAGTCACAAACGGCCGAGACACCACCGCTCCATACAGGACTCACGTGTGGTCACCGCCCTCCCAATCTTAAGACTCCACCATCTTGGGACCTGGAACAACATGACTTTTTTGATCAACATTTTGTCCTCAATGTTTTCAAGGTCTGATGTTGGAGCCCTGTGGTGTTTCCCACCGCCCCCCCCCCCACCCCCGGCATGTTGGTTTGAGAAGGTTTAGGGAATTTAGTAACGGCCCTGTACCTTGGTTTGGTCTTCTGTTTGTGGTGGTTTTCATTCTTCCCCAGGAAGAGTCTTGTCAGTATCATGTGCAGCCCAAGCATGGGAAAGGTTTCAAACCAGTTCATTTAGGAAGGTTAAACGGGGGTTCTTTCTCTCTGAGTCATTGTGAAAGGAAGAGTCACACAGTACCTGTGGACTTTCAGGGACTTTGTCTCTGGTGCCTTAGCAACGGCAGCAGCCATTTTTATTAGTTTCCCCAAAATTTAAAACAAAAAACAGTTTAAACCCCTTCCCTCCATTCACTGCTCTCAGAGCTGTGATCACTAGTTTTTCTTTTGGAAACCACCTCCACCAACAAATACTCCCGTTTGCCTACACTCCCCCCCCCCTTTTTTTTCTTATGTTTACTTTTTCTGTCTCTCGACTTCCTCCCACTTTTGGTTTTCCCTCAGAACCGTGAATGGGCAGGTCTGTCTCTGGTTTGGCATCACTGAGTTTTTCCCATGCATTTGCCCCAGAGCTGCTCGGATGTGAGACAAATCTCCCTACAATGGGCTTGCTCCCATTGTCTGTACAGTTTAATAGATGCTGGCATGTTGGAGGTTACCCATGAGTCCAAATCCGCTTTCCATGCTTACTCTTGACACCCCATTGAAGCCACTCATTGTGTGTGCGTCTGGGTGTGAAGTCCAGCTCCGTGTGGTCCTGTGCTTGTACTGCCCGCTTTGCAGTTCCTTTGCACTTACTCATCGAGTGCTGTTTTGAAATGCTGACATTATATAAACGTAAAAGAAAATGTAAAAAAAAAAAAAAAAAAAACACACACACAAACAAACCCATATGATCTGTATTTGTATATACACGTGTCCGTACAAGTATACCTAAATAAAAATTAAAGATTTTCATCATTTTAATTGGAGCCCTCCTTCTACTTCTTTGTTCCTTGAATGACGCCTTTATTTCAGGGGCTACTTGTACTCTGCTGATTTTTTCAAAATCTTTGTGGACAGAAAAGATAATACGACAAGCACAAGAGAAGGCCTGAGAAGGTCAAAGAATGTGCAGGGTTTGAAATGGTCAAGTATCTAGGCACATTCCAGTTATTCTGATGAGAAAATAGTGAGATTTCAGTCTTGTCTCAGTATCTGAGCCTTAAAATAGGCACTATGACAAGCCCTGCATCCTAAAACAAGTGTTAAATTCAAGAGCTAAACACATTATGTTCTTTTACTTTGCATGTATTTATCTATTTTTTCACCTCATCAAGAAAAAGATAAAAATAATCATTTTACAGCAAATATACTTCCCAAAGAAAGAATGACAGTAATGACAATAATCACCTCAGTACAATCCCAAGCCACAATTCTCACTACCAAGGAAAATTAATTTACTGCTGTGTGACCTTGGGCAAGTCACACAATAAATATCTTTGGGACTCACTTTCCTTATCAGTTAATAACAAGGTTGTATAAGTGCTTTGATTTTTAAAATATTGCCCTTGCTGGACACTGGGAAGCCCATTCTGCATCGGAGTGATGTGAGTTTTTTGTCTTTGATGATGACATTGCTATAAGCACAATTTGAGAATTTCATCTGTAGATGGAAAAAGCATCAAATGTCTGACAAAATAGACACCTAATGCATTTCAAGACTTGGCTTTAATTATACCATGTTAACATTAAACTCATTGAAAGCTTTTTATTATACTTAATTATTTGACAGGGCACTAAACACTAACTACAACTTACTGTAACCTTTTTTGCTAATGAAGAATGACAGCTTTATAGAATGAGGAACAACTCATTAAAAAGAGATGTACTGCACTACCTATGTGATATTTTCAAGCCAGAACAGCATTATGTGGTCATTTTCATCATCACCATCATCATCAAAAGCATTTAAGTGATCGTGACATTGTGCTCAGCGCTATGCAGAATAAAGTTAATGTTTACAACCCGTACTTGTAAAGTTTACAACATAAGGCAGACATTGCGTGTAAACATAACACGGTAACGATCTATAGAGAAAATATAAAATTCAAGCATTTTTATTATACATAAATGAGAAAGGAGATAGATGAGAAAAAAAAGATCGGGATTTTAAGATTAGAAAGCTTAGAGTTAAAGGAAATTATCTTGTCAAAATGGGGTTAAGAGCTTCTTACAAAATAGAAATCTTGGTGGGTTAAAAAGCACTGTGGGCTTAAAAAGGACAGTAGAGTGCATGGAGTCAATTTTCATAGTAGCTACAAAGGTGACTCTGGAGATGAGAAAACCTGAGCATCGTTGAAGCAAATTATGAGGAGACTGGTCCAGAGAAATCACCTTAGTGCCCTAAGAAAGCAGGGGAAGCGATGAAAAGATGACAACTTCCGATTCTGCTTTAGAGAATAATCATACACCTGTTCTGGAAGCTGAGACTGTATCTACATTGAATTGTGAGCTGTCCAGGATCTCAGCCAAGATGAAGCCTACATTTTCTTAGATTAGAGCAAAGGGATAAAAGTGCAAAACATTGAAAAGTGGGGACTAAGATCATTTGAAAGTGGCTGTGAGTCCCTGATTAAAGAGGCCAGTTCCTGATAGATAGTGCTGCACACATAACAGGAAAGCAGACAGGACCGGAGATAGGACATAAGCAGTGCTGCAAGAGCCACGCTTCGGTAGCAAAGTATTTGGAATTCTTGAGTCGCCTAAGTTGTTATACAAAAAGAATCAAAGGAGAAATTGTGGTGAGTAAGACACATATATGGATTTGAATCTCTTATCCCAGTGATAATGATTAGAATCTTTCACCTCTTATTATAGGAATGTGTATAACCTAGGTGCCATAAAGGAAGTTCAAGATAATTCTGATGAGCTGCTCATTGACCATTCTAACAGTTTTTTAGGAACTACTGGCAAAACAGTTTCTTAGAGATTGTTTGCAAAGCTTAGTTCCATATTCTGCTGATAACATAAGCATACTTTAGGAAAGCTCTGGCAAAAATGCTGTGAAAAGCATGATGATTTTTGCACAGTCCCTCTGGAAAACAAGTGTTCTGAAAATGATTGCAAATAACTAATCAGGCCGATATTCTCCGTCAGTTTTTAGTTTGATACATTCCTCTATATTGGTCAAGTTGTTCAGTGGTTAAATACATATGTGCGCCTATTTTTAAAATGGAGTTGTAAGTGCTGATGGACCCTGTGAGCAGTAAATTTGCAATAATTCTGTGTTCTTTTTAAAATATGGATGATAAATGAATGTACAAGATTCTTTTAAAAAGGCAAGAAATTGCATTGCCCAAGGAATTGGTCAAGAGCATCACCGAGGGTTCATTTGCTTTGGGGAAGGGGTGATTAGCCAACCACTCTTAAAAAAAAAATAGCACCTAAGTAAAAACAGTGAACTTGTTGTACAAATGCTGCTTCCAGGCAAGTTCCCTCCCTCCCTTCCCCTTTCCAAACAGAAAGCAGCTTCTAAGCCCTTCCTATACATGATGTCTGGAGTGGCAGAAGAAAGGGGACCAAAGGCCTCAAGTACAGCACATCCCAACATAATGACCCTTTTGACAATTCCCGTCAGAGATCGTCATACTCTCTTCCCAAGAACTGCAGTACACTCTGAGATTAAAGCATGATTTCATTAGTTTTCATTAAAAGATCACCCCTGGTTCCATTCTGAGTGTCCCATGAGTTCTGCCACCTTACTCCCAGCAATGGCACTACTTAGTGTCCACCCTGAAGGAAGGTCAAATAAAAAGAACTTTCAGTTCCTCTTCTTGTTGTCTGCTTTTTGACTCAGTTTAAGTCCTAAGTATGGGGGTTTCTGTAACATTAATAAAAGAAACATTTTTAGTAACAACCCCTATCACAACACCCTGGGACGAGGATGCCAGCATCAGAGCCACGGTGCGGACATGGGAGGACCTGACAATTTGGGGTAAAAGCACTACCCCTGATGCTGTCACTGAGAGTTAATTCAGAAGAATTCAATCTACGGGGTGGCTCTCTGAGTCAATAACGTGCTTTGAAATATCCTGGATTTAAAAAAAAAAAAAAAAAAAAATCCTGGATTTTAGTCATGATTATTCAAGCAAGAACTTCATGTCACTTGGTAACACACGGATGCTTGTTGATCTTGACAAGAACACAAAGAGGGGGACCAAAAAAAATCTCTAAGATTACAATGGTAAAGCAGAACAAAATATTTTTGCATGCTGTTTTGTTCACAAGTGCCAGGTGCTCCCTCAAACTGCATATATCATTTGAGATGCAAGTAGCCAAAGTCATCTTCTTTCCATCACAGCCATGAAACAAGTCAGTAAAATAAAAGAACATGTTTCTTCCTACACACATCTCAGAAAATGCATTCTATCAACACCTTATCCTCTCCTTTTGTGTTCAGAGCTTATTCTGTTGGGCCAAACAACAAAATCCCTGATTGTGTAGCAGAGAGTGTGGAACACATAACTCCCCTGAAATCTGTGCTTTGCTTTACTAGATCTGGACACATTTTCTGCAGCAGACAGAACAAGAAGTTCTGTGTCTTTTTTTATTCTTTCCTAAAGACAGTGTGCCAGCCAGCAAGCTGACTCCATTTATTTCTCCTACAGGGAGTCAGCG